TAAAATAATTATAATATTATTATAATATCATATTATATAATAAAATAATAATTTTAGAGTTATTAATATAATTATGATATTATTTGTTACAATATTACTATTATATTATATTATATTATATTACGAGTCTGAATTTTAGATTGAGAATATTATAAATTTTAAATTTTATTAGGAGTATTATAGGTATTATGAAAGTTTCATTAATTGTACTATGATGATTCCCGCATAATTTAAAAGTTAAAATTGTCTTTAGGCTGCTTTTGATTTTAGTTGTAGATTCTTAAAAAATTCTTCAAAAAACACTTTTAAAAAAATTTACCAAATACTAAAATTAATTTCTATTACAAACAGAAGCATATTTTAAAAGCGAAAAACAATATCAAACTAAGCCAATATTGAATTACTTGCATGCATTTTTCACAATCTTTTTCATTTCACGCGCGCGCATGCAAACGGCTGCAATTATTTCTGGTAGCCTGGTAGGTACTTACTCCTTAAAAAAAAATAATAAAAATAAAAAATAATAATTTAGCACATACTTCACAAGGCTCAAAGACTAGTATAGCATGGCTAAGATATGGTCTCCATATAATATACATGAAATATATGATCTCCATATAATATACATGAAATATATATATTATGTGCACGTAGCATGGTTTGATCTGAGCATACATTGGTTGCGGACAATGAATCTAGATGTAACATAATGGATGTAATGATTGAGGCTCCGTTCACTTCACCGATTCGAGTTTATAATTTAAATTTTGCTACAGTAAAAAATTCTCAGAAACAGTCATATCTAATTTTTTTACTGCAGCAAAAAAATCTTACATAAAATCACATCTCAACTCAAATTATAAACTCGAATCAACGAAGTGAACGAGCCCTGAGTATATGACCAAGTTTTAAATTACCGTAATGGATGTAATGTGTGGGTTGAATGCTTATCTACTGAAAAAAGAGAAAAACATAGGCCCTGTTTGTTTCCGTTTTCATTTTCATTTTTTACGTTTTTCGAGACTAAAAAATAAAAACGGAAACAGAAAATGCGTTTGGTCTAAAAATTTTTTAAAAACAAAAACAAAACCGTTTTTGTCTTTTGTGAAAAATTGAAAACGAAAAAAATGTGTTTTCATTTTCTCATTTTCGTTTTCTGAAAACGGATTTCATTTTTTTTTTCTTCTCTCTTCTGAAGTCGTTTTTGTCTTATATAATGATGTTTATTTAATATATTATTATTTTAATAATATTATTTATTTAATATATTATTATTTAATATATTTAAAATATTATTTATTTAATATATTATTATTTTAAATATGATTACATGTTTTCAAAAATTAAACCACCAAACGCAGTTTCAGTTTTTTTTTAAAACTGAAATCAATCTCTGAATAAAACTACCAAACGCATTTCAGAAATAATTTCAAAATGAAAATGAAAACGTTTTCATTTCTATTTTCATACAGAAAATAAAAACATTTTGAAACCAATTCTAAACGCACCCATAAAAATCCGTAACGTAACAAAGTAACAACATTTCACTCAACTTACAAGGCAAAAATCATATATTTAATTGAACCAGAAAATTTTCCTAGTGAACAGTAAATTTTGAAGTTTGGGGTACGAGGTGTAACTAACGCATAAATTTGAGAAAAATACTTAAAATTAACTTCTGTTTTTTTTTTGGTTGAAAATGGAATCATCGGAAGGATTCTCTGTTAGTATGAGAGATTTT